GAACACAGGGAATTCAGGACAGATGAACCCTTCAGGTCCCGTGGTGTGGCGATACTGGGAGGGTGGAGGGAATGTGGAGTAAAAAGGGGGAATGGATTATAAGGATCTACATATAACCCCCTCCCTGAGGGATGGACAACAAAAAAGTGGGGGAAGGGATATGTGGGACAGTGTAAGATATGATAAAATAATAATAATTTATCAATTATCAAGGGCTCATGAGGGAGAGGGGGTGGGTATTGAGGGGGAAAATGATGAGCTGATACCAAGGGCTCAAGTAGAAGGCAAATGTTTTGAGAATGATGAGGGCCATAAATGTACAAATGCGCTTGACACAATGGATGTATGTATGGATTTGTGAGAAGAGTCGTATTAGCCCCCAGTAAAATGATTTTTAAAAAGACATCAAGTGAACAATAGATAGATGAAGAAAGACAAGAAAATTATGATGATTCCACCTTCTCGTGGATGGACAGTGGACATCTTCAGACCGAAGTCATGGACAACACGATGGCCATGAGCCAACACTTCAAGGATACTAAAGCTTGGGAACCTTGTAGTTTTCCAAGGTCTTCCTACTTCCTAATTACGTTTAGTGCCCAGAAAAGTTTTCAACGAACTCAAACTTGATTTTAGGATGGTATCTAGCACATTTCTCCTATCACACAGTTACCTGGACCTGCAAAGGAGGCCTATTTATTTTCTCACCCAGCTAAGATGGTAAAATACACGTTAATGTTAGCTCAAGTTTCAACCTCAAAAAAAGAGAAAAATTATTCATGACTTCAAATGACCTTTTTTTCTAAAATGTCTGCGAGCAATCATTGATTCTTTCTGCAGCATCATCAGTGTTACGTAGATTCATCAGGGCCATGACTTCCCAGAATGAGGCTGCAGTGCTATATGAATCTACATGACGGCCAGTGATCTTCCCTCACCTAGAGGCAGAGCAAGCCCTCATTGATTCTGTGATTTCATGGATTAGGTGTGAACAAACATACAAAAGGAGCCCAGAGGACCTGGGTGATAACTGATTCGTATAGACTATTGCTGAATGCACAGTGGGGGCAATTTCAGCATTTCTCAACTACTAGATTTCTGAATGAGAAGGGTTGACATTTAATTCTATAGCTGAAAATTTCCATTAATTCTATAGCTTGAAATGTTATGTTCTATAGCTGAAAACTTCCGTATCAAAAATTTAACCATAACTCACAGAGATACCAGTCCTGTAGCAGTCCATCAGCAGGAATGTAATTCTCCTGGGAAGGACTTCTATCTGAAGTACAAGTGAGGGAGCAGCAAAAAACCCTACTTTTCCCCAGCCGTCCTACCATATGGATTCTTACCCACTGTGTTCACAGCTATGCCAGATTTGCTTCAGGAGCTTTGAGAATCACTGGACATGCCATAGAACTCATTTAAAAGATACAATTAATGGTGGGATTCAAATAATCTAACAAATGGTTCAGTGCTCTAATGAGCATTTTAAGTATTAAAGAAATATAGCAGTTTATTATTTCATACAGTTAATACTTAAATGAGGTCTACGCAAAACTATATAATGTTATGAAAAAGCTTTAAAATATTAATGAAAATATTAAATACTACCCAACCAAAAAAACCCCAATAAAACTGCTATTTAAGATATTTCCATATTGCTTCTTGATTAGCATCCTCACTTGCAATAGTTTTCACTTTTGTCTGAGTAGCATCAGCTGTGTGAAAGGAGGTAGGCCAATTAGACAATAATCATGGTGTTTACTATATTACAATGGATTCAGTTACTTCCTCTCTCAGAACATATTATGTTCATCTTTGAAAAATCCCTTTCTGAGTCTGCTGAAATCACAGCGATTGTTCTGACAATATATTTAGCACTCTGAACAATTTCAAGCATTGCATAATTTACTCATAATATCTCTTGGGAATTTGGGTCATAACACAAAGCTAAAATGAATGACAGTGTGTCACTCTTCGGTTGTATGATACGTTTTCTCTTTACGTTGTATGTTTGTTTATTGAAGCAATAAATGCAAAGGAATAAAAATGTAGTATTTCATCAAAAGTATAAAAAGTTTTATGAAATGAGTAAAGATTATAAGCATAGCTTTATCTAATTTTTATACATATGGATGGAATGAACATTAATATAGGCACTTAAAATACACTGTTGCATAGATGAAGATTAAAAGAGAGTAAGGAATGTAAATTTGTGATTTCTAAATTGGGTGGCTTCCCAGCCACCTACTTTAGAGAAAACCCTGATTATAACCGACATTTTAACAATTGCTTTGCTGAACTCAACCATAAATTATGTATCGGTTCTACCGGACTGGTGCAGACCAACTAAATCCCACCACTGGATGCAATTTATTTTGGGGGCTACCCACTGGCCTACTGGCTTACTGTGTCACTAGTGTGACCAGTCACACTTTATAATTTATCAAAAGCCCACTATATAGAGCATAGGTAGCATACAGAACATATATAAATAGTACATAAGTATAGTGCTAAATATATGAATACATGAATGTAATAAGTATCAATATTTTTAATTACTAATGTACTTTTCATCTGAAAGTTTCAATTAGACCTACTTTCAATATAGGTATATGTTTTAAAATATAAGATGTGATTTGATTGTGTAGCATGCATGTACAGAAGGTAGAGTGATTGTTTAGAGGGTCTTTTTTTGTTTTAACAGGCATCCAATTCCATATAGATCGGAATAATTGTTTTTTGAAATAGGAGGTTCTAAATAGAGACCTAAGGTGTATATTGGTATTAAATTTGAGTTTAGTTACTCATTTATAAATCTTTACCGATTAAAAGGCTGTTTAAAATGTATAACGGATATGGATTTGACTAGAGTTTTTGTTTTTTGGTTATTGCACAAATTTGTTACTGAGCACTTTCTATGGCTTACTAGATTATTATTTTAATTTTATATGTAAGTTTACTATTAAGAGTATTAATAAAATATAGACTCTATCTATCCATTCATTAATCTACTTGTATTCCTTATTGGTTTTCCTTAATCTTACTTGATATATGATGCTAAATCGAACAATTCTAAATGGAATTCGGAAAATCACTACAGTGTTTTCATACATATTGTATAATTGTATCCTAGTAGATTTGCCATTTGAGGTGAAAAAACATTTTTAATTAATTTGTTAAAATATTTTTATTGGAATATAGTCCTTATACCACACAATTTACTAATTCAATCATATTAAGATAAGAATAGTTATGCAATCATCACCAAAATCAATTTCAGGACATTATTTTCTTTCTCACACTCATTGTTAGTTGCCCATTTCCCCCCACCTTCCCCTGCCATGCCCCTAAGTAATTATTAATCCAGTTACTGTCTCTATGGACTTATCTATCCTGGATTTTACATACAGGAAATGATACAAAACACAAACAGGAAGCAAACAAACAAAAAGAATAAACAAAACAGTGGAAAACCTCAACCAAAAAGAAAGCAGAAAATACTAAAAACGGAAAACTTTAAAATGAGTCAAAAGGAAGATCAAATAAGGTGTTACATTTTAACCTCATTACATCGTCTACAATTGATTTCACAATACTGAGACAAACTAATGCGTTCTACTTCTGATAAGAAAATAAAGAATGAAAAATTGAAAATGGAGAAAACCTCAAAGTCACAAAATCCTACCTCTGTTTTTCTTTATATATGCTTCCTCTTTGATAGTCCCCTACTTCATTCATACATACATATGCACACACATTCACACACTCATACAGGTAGCTTTTATTTTTTCTTATTTTTCCTCTTGCAGATGGGCACGGTTCCTCATTTCTTTTCCACAGCACTTTTATATCAACTTTTGTAAAACTGAAATACTTGTCATAATATTCAGTGTAACAACCATCTCTCTCATTTTCAGGCAAGATATAAAATGCTGAAATTGTCCCAGAGAAACTTTAGGCTAGAATCTTTTAAAATATCATACTTTGGTTGACATATATCACTTTTTTTCTTATACAGAAAGAAGTCTGATTTTGCTGAAATTCCTAGTCTTACTCTAGACTATCATTTCGGGAAAGTCACTCAATATTGTCTGTTTAAAGCAATGTTAAATAGTCCTGTTCCTTGCCTTGAGGTCCTAAAAGAATAGTCAGAATTTAAATACACAGTGTTGTTATGATTTTACATATAACTTTTGACATCCAAGAATTCACAATATGTTGAGAAGAAAATGTTTCCCCAAGCTGTCCATATATGCCTCACTCACCACTGAGGCTAGCTACTAGTCGGGCAGCAGATCAAGATAAACACACACACCAAATACTATTCTAAAACAAACAAAACAAGTGCAAAAAAACAATGTAAAAGAAAGAAGGCCTTTTAAAAACTGCATCATTCAGCAAGAGTGATATTCAAAGCAACCACGGTGGAGATAGAGATGTCCAGGATAGAGACTAGCTCCCCAGAAAAGCCTGCTCCTCTGGGCTCAGGGTAGCAGTCTAGGTTCCTACCCAAGTCATAGGTGATCCTGGTGAGAGAGGTTATCAGCAGGCAGTCTCACAGTTATTTCATTAGCCCCGTCCATAATCAGTGGTACTATCCTCTACAAGACTCTTTCAAGGGTTCAACTCTATCTGCATAACAGTCTCCGCCCCATTCCCCTAATTATTCAATAGCTTTGGAGAGCATTATTGAAAACGTGTGCAGTGTCAGGAAAGTGTAATTACAAGCTTTCTGGCCATGGTATAGGAACCTCACCCTGAGAGAATCCGTGCTCTTAGATAAAGCAACTCAATTAGAAAAATTCAGTTCATGAAGACTGGTTTGCAATGGCTAAAAATACTACTTATAGTAACAGTAATGTTATATCTATAAATAGTATATTTATATATTTTTAAAACGTACACAGTGTCACTCAGATGTTCTCTGATTAGTTTGTAGACATGGTCTAACTCAATCGCCTTTGTGAAAAATGCACGACCATGGGTAGCAGGCCTACCTGAGCCCATACAACACTGTCCCGTCAGGGTGCAGGCGGATCATGCGGTTCTTCACTGTTACCCCATGCACGAATGACTTTTTGTCATTTAAAAAGTATGTGTCAGGCACCCAGAGCTGGTCAGCCACTCGATTGTCCAGCGTGAGGTTAAGAGGAATTCCCGAGTATGCAAGTCTCTTGTCTCTCCAGTACTGTTGGAAATACATGGTTAAGGTGTAGTCCTGGGAAGAGAGAGAGAAAAAAAAGAAGAAAGAAACAAAAATATCAATGTGTGCTCAGCTACAGGACGATCCAGTCATGGTTTTCCAATGCAAATTCCAATATGAGTCCTTCAGTCAATTCCCCGAAGAGGCAGAGGCCATTCATAAACAAGGCTGGAAGCAGTTATGACATTCCTTTGAATACACACCAGCATCTGTAAGTCTACTTGAGTACATGTAAATTTTGTGCTTTATTTGGGTACAAACAAGACTGGATAAACTTCCACTTAAGAGGTTACTACATAGAGTAATTGCAGAACAAATGTCATGTCATAGTAAATTCACGCAAGCATGTTCATCAACTCCCCAAGACAGCGAAGCTCTGTCCACAAACTCCTCTCTCTGTTTGCAACTTAAGTCACTTCCTTCTCCTTCTACCCTCTGTAGGGTTTTAAATAAGTATCAGTGTGAGTAATAGCTTGCAGGGCCACTATACACCATCCTTCTGTCTCTCTTCTTTCATCATGCCATAGCCACATTGCCAAGGCTATTGTGTCACCCAGAAATGGTGACAATATTACTATGGTTAAAAGGGGGGCTTGAAGAAAAAAAGTTGGCTGGGCAAAGGGGAGTCAGCTGTCTTGTCTTAATTGCACTAGATATTTCCAAGGAGCTTCATCCCTTCACCACCCACCCAACAAAACCAGTAAACCTCTAGGAAGATGGTGTGTGTGTGTGTGTGTGTGTCTGTTTCCCTTTCCAAAGAGTCCATGCTGAGACCGTGGATAAATGCTAAAGTGGAGCCTGGGCATTAAACAAAATGAAAGACATTTGAAAAACTAGCAGGTGCCACACAGAACTTGCACAGTCTCAGAGTTTCAGGAGACTGTTTCCAAAACATGTTCAGTTGTAGATGTTGGAGATAAGCATAGAGAAAGATGGCAAATCCATCCTTGAACCCATCCAGAACATGGGTCTTCTAACATTTCATTTAGAACCTGGTCATTGCTCACTGGGAAACTCATAGTTTCTTTAAGTAAACATTGGATTTGTATTACTTCTCTGAACAATCTGGAACAGAGAAACTGAAATGACAAAGAGCAGATACAGGAACAGCCTGTAAATGCTTTTAAGTAGGAAGAGATAACAAAATCAACCCATGTAAAGCAATGTACGGATCACAGGCCACAGACAAAAGGTATTTAAAATGTGAGATTCGTGCATATCCCTGGCCTGACAATTAGGTTTTGTGTCAACAGGGTGGCTGGGACAAGGTTCTCAGCAGTTTTGATCCTATCCCAAGATGGGATCTAACAATGCAATGAACCCTGAGAGTAGCCAGCTGTTGAGGTGTAGTGCGCCACTTGATTAGGTCACAGCCCTGAGGCAATTGGAAGGAGGTCTCCTCACGGGTCTCCCTGCTCATTTATAAGCAGAGCCTGTGGGAAAGCTTGTTCCATTTGCTAAGCCTGGATCCTGGATGTGGTTCAACCTCCTGCCATATTGCCTGTTCACCCAGGAGTCATCATCAGACTTCCTGCTTTGGATTCATTCATTTCTGTGGCCATCAACCTATGGTTTTCCCACTTTCTCTTCTCTTTATGAGCCCCTGATGCTACATAAGTCAGAAGACATCTCTAGCTTAATATCAGATTTACAGATGTACCATTCTGGACTCACTTGTTTCTACAAATGTGTCAACAACTTTCTTAATTATTTTCTGTTTATCCATATATAAATGTCACTGGTTTTACTTCGCTTGAGAACCCAGCCTAATGCACCAGTTTTACATGATCTGGGATTCTATAGAGTCTCAATTAGATAAAGAGAAATAATTTGAGCACATGAAGAAAAATTTAAGAACAGTTTTCATGCTCTTCCATAGGCAGAGCTCTATGGCTGCTATTACCTGTCGGAGCCCCAATCCACTACTTTCCAGTGAAATCTTTTGATAGAATAGGTGCTGTATCAGATAGAAATTGGTTAGCTAGAAATGAAATTAGAAACATGAAAAAAAACCAAGCCTTCAGGAGAGTATTGATTTTAATACACTTACGGGAATCCCTGAAATTCCAATTGCCAATTTAATAGCCAATAAAAGCCACCAAAGGGTTTTTGTAGCATATGTGAGAAAGATCAATTTTTAAAATGGACAAGAAGTAAGATAGAAAAAAGTGTAAGGCAAGTGGTCAGTATCTCTGAGTGGATCATAAAGTAGGACATGTAGACCGGGCCTATATTGAAAGGGCTTGAAAGTAAACAAGCGACCATCTAGCCAAGAAGCAACAAAGCCCACATGGAAGCAGCACACCAACATGTGTAATCACGAAGGTCTGAGGGGACTAGGTTTCAAGCACAGGGGTAG